TCAGGGGGACTCGAAGGGCTACGGTAGACCACGCCGAGAAGGAGATAATCGGACCCGCGCAGCGGGATTTGGACCCACAGTGCATCGCAGAAGGGTGCAGGGGTGGTGTCAGCGAGGACAATCGGTCCTTACAGCTGATAATGATTATGATTATCATTTTTCCGAGCGATTCCTTCAGAGACACTGGCAAATATAGAGACAGCTGTAATTTGGCATTCAGCGAAGCGAGAAAAAGGCGTTGATTTGACTATTTCGAAAATGCACACATGACCCAGCCTTGAACTCTTGTTTCCTCTATGTAACATACATCGGTATCTATTTGATCTGGCGTAAGCTAGATTTTTAATGCATTTATTTGGTCGTTGCGCCCGTACTAGTGTGCTAGTCAGAATTCTGACTGAAATTTTAAGTCAGTCAAATAAGTCGACCACCCAGTCTTTAAGGTTTCGAGTTGTTCAGGTGAATTGATAACGGCGCTAATGGATGAATTACAATAAAGGCACCAAAAATGAGGCGCGAGGATGAAGAGAGGAGGTCAGTGGGGCTGTGCACGCGTGTACCACCATCCCAGCCAAAATGAGCTCAAACTTTTTAGCGGACAGAATAAACCTCTGATTGTGATTGGGTGAATTCGCCTACGATGCTGCTGGATGATCCGCTAACCTGCATTTTGATTGGTTGAGACGACGTTGAATCTGATAAGCCGTGGAATAATCGGCCGGAATAGTTATTAGAAACGGTGTAGCGTGAGACGTCAGGAAGTCAGCGGCATTCGACGTTCGAGAGGATGTAGCGACGGCACACGTCAGTTCTGAAATGTGCAGATATACGGACTGGTGTTAATGGAACCACACGGTATACACAGCACATGCGCACAGGTCGGGCGGAACCAGTGAGAAGACCGGAATGTGGTAACGACACACGTGTATCGACCGAAACCGAAACCGGAAGCGCGGGTGTACAGGGTCGGGTCAAGGTCAGTTAGGGGGTGTACAAGCGGGATACTCTTCCCTGTCCAGGGCCCGTGGTGATTCATCCGTGGTACCTGCAGTGGGGGAAGAGAGAAAGGGAGGGGCACGGATGAGGTCATATGAGAGACGTGCAAGCAGATACATTCGAGTTTCAAATGCGTTACAACGGTAGAGGAGGAGAGTTGCTCAAGTGTTTGTGTGAGGAATTGGTCATCTTCAGGGGGACTCGAAGGGCTACGGTAGACCACGCCGAGAAGGAGAGAATCGGATCCGCGCAGCGGGATTTGGACCCACAGTGCACCGCAGTAGGGTGCAGGGGTGGTGTCAGCGAGGCTCGGCGCAAACCGAGTGGATGCAAACGAATATGTATTAGAAAGCTGAAGGTAGCAATCCACTATAAACCCAACCAAGTTTAAACGCATTCTGGTCGATTTTTGGGGATGGCATTAGTATGAGTTTAATTAAAGTCACTGTCGGCGCGAGTAGACGCATCTGCCTGTCTACAAACAGCGCCTGTGACACATCGGAACCTGAGGTTTATCGTCTTAAGGAGGCCACTTGCGGCCTACCGAATAACGGCCGTATTTTATAAACTCTCACCCGAGAGTGCACTTTACTGCATGCTATCCACTGGGCTCATCCCAGGGCTGCAGGGCATCCGCATAATATAACGTGCGGTTACCCGTAGCATCGGAAAAGACGTTGTCCTACGAAAAACGTTCTCTTTGAAGCAACATTTTGTACCCTTTTGCATATTCTCCGGGGGTTGCATCATCTAAAGTTTTTCTTAGCCTTTGGTTACCAATTTCAAGGTTTCCCTGACTGGCCGCTTTCGATTACAGTTTGATACCAGCATCAGCAACTGTATGCTCTGACGAAAAGCAGGCAACACAGTGATCTATCAGGGATTCAGACTAGCGGGAGCAGACCAGCGCGCTACTCGCTGCGCAAAGCGCAATTTCCCGGATCCCTACCTCTTGTTTTACCTTTGTACTGCATTCCACCTCATAGTATTTGTTTGGGCGTTGATTTAAAATGGTCAAGGACGCGCCGTAGTTTGGCGCCTGGGAAGTCCTACTTTGTTGCGTTGTCGGGTTCCCCCACACTCGTTTTACAAGAAGCCTCTGGTACCTCATGAACGTACTCGGCATCTTCTAAGCCGTTTTTTAAGTATAAGACTTAGTGTACATTATCACTGTAAACTCATCAAAAGTCCTGCTTCCACATTGCTTCCCTCCGCTCCCAATGAACACTTTATTGTTTATTTTACTTCCCGACGTATTCATGGTATCTATGAAACCAGTTATTTCAATATATACGCTGATACTGACAGCCATCTGTTACTACTGCCTAATGAATACGAACTGCGTATTGTTCGACATATCTAGATCCTACAGGGACCATCTTCACCGTTTGTCTGGACAGCCAAAGGTGTCAACAAGAACCGTCCGGAGATCTTCAGAACTCACCATCGGCATAGAATCCAAAAAGCAGACCAAAATGAGTAGAATAAGGGATGCGAGGTAAGCTGCAGGACCAGAGCTAGCGCCAAAGAATCTTGATCACTAGTAGGTTACTCTTATTACCCTTAAAACCTAAAGGCCAATGACATGGAAATGCCAAATGTTAGGAATCTTATAGTGTTGTCCGAAATTAGCAAGGGCATCATTCGTGCTAAATTGAGCATCTGAAATCTTCGTATTTTACCACTTAAGGATCGGTAAACTGGTGGTACGCGCTGGAGCACTTTGTAAAACGAAAGAAGCTGGGCGTTGCTGCGTAGCTGAAACGCGGCAATAATATAAAAATAATGCTGAGGCTCTGATATTTCCTGGCCAGACTTGCCCAATGACAGGAGCAGAAGAACAATGCTGCGTGCAACTGCGGTGCTGAAATGGAGCTCCTTTATCGAAAACAGCTTTCAAAATGTTGATCAAGCAAATTAGTTGCATGATTTTACCACGGTAAAATGCTGGTATCCTGTCTCGTCTGTTCTGCTGCAGCTCTGGGCGGTGAATAAAACACTATGCAATCGTAAGTGGCTTCCATGCATCCAGTGTCAGCTAGATGGTGTGTAAGGATGGTAAACTTATTTTGCATTCCAAAGCTCCTCGTCCATTATCCTCCGGTGAAATGCGATCTTACAGCGGATCTATCCCAACCTAACTAGCTGAAATTTAATATGCATTTATTTGGACTGGAATTAATGCTCACATATATAAAACTGGACCTAAACACTGCTTGCCTAGGTAGGCCGTAAGATACCCCTTATTACCGGAAAAATGTTGTTACTACCGGTCGGGTCAGCTAGTCTATCGAGAGAGAAGTAAGCATCTAACAAATATTGCCGAGGAACGTGCAGCGAAATCGAGGGAGCAAGTGTCTTCTGTCAAAGGGCAACGCAACTGTTTCCAGCTCAGATCCCCCAACCTCAACCGCGCCAAAATACTAAAGCGACACAACAGAAAAGCCTGGGATAGAGCCGTGAACCAAGTGTGTTCTACCCGAATAAAGTTTGAGATTACAAGACAGCTGTAAGGGAGTCTGGGGCTTGTGAATTTTACATAGGCTACAAAAAGTCATACAACGGCCGCTAGAGATCACTGGAGTCAGGGTGTTTCACCAGAAGAGTGTTTGCTCATCCGGGTGCTTGCACGCTAATCCATTGAGAATTATTCAAATGGCGATATACTTCGTATGAACTGCTAACTATAATGTAGAACTCCGTTCAAAAAGTGAACTGGCCCGATGGATTGCCCAAGGCGGAATTCACGTTCCAAATCTCAGAAATCCTTGCACCTTCCTGACATCTCAGAATATTCATTCGCTGCCAAAGCAGAGCAACCTCAGCATCAAAATGCCACCTGTGACTTGTAATCTTCCGAATTTGTTGTACTCCAATTTTTTGGGAGTAATAAAGCGAAAACTGCCTTTTGCTGTGAAACCCACCGAACATCTCTATCAATGTATTGTAAACTGCGCACTACAGAAGATCTACCAATGCTGCAGACACTGATTATTTCAGACTACAAAAACCTGTGTCGATCTGCCATGTGGATGGTAAATTCTTTATAGAAGATCAAGCGCTTCCGGCTCTTAAAAATACAGACACGTCAAAGGACTCGTACATGGCACATTATAGACAAAATACAGTTCGTCTAAAATGACGGAACGTCATCAAAGCAAAGTATTTCGCATATCTAATTATCTGTTTTGACATTGTATCTAAAAACCCTCTAAGCAGGCACTTTTAAACTTGACAAAAAATGACTCCGATAAGATATTCAGGAGATATTTCAATTGTTTAGCAACAACGCAGTTGGAAGAGCCTGTCATACGGCGCAGATCAACGCGCGTTGGCCCAAACAATCCGAATGCACAAACATTGCGCTCACACTGAGGCAGGGTAGAGACCCCAAGGCTACCTGAAGTAATGCGCTTCTAAATGCTATTTATATCTGCTCAGTAGCTCAGGCGATTTGTGCAAAACATTTGGGTTGTGTTCGACCTGAAACCACGTTAACTTGTTGGTGAGCTGAAAACGGGAAAACGGGTAACTTTTTCTTCTCGTTGATGAATCGCTTAGTCACTGGAACTTCACCGATTATTGTTGTTCATATTATAGACAAAATACAGTTCGTCTAAAATGACGGAACGTCATCAAAGCAAAGTATTTCACATATCTAATTATCTGTTTTGACATTGTATCTAAAAACCCTCTAAGCAGGCACTTTTAAACTTGACAAAAAATGACTCCGATAAGATATTCAGGAGATATTTCAATTGTTTAGCAACCACGCAGTTGGAAGAGCCCGTCATACGGCGCAGATCAACGCGCGTTGGTCCAAACAATCCGAATGCACAAACATTGCGCTCACACTGAGGCAGGGTAGAGACCACAAGGCTACCTGAAGTAATGCGCTTCTAAATGCTATTTATATCTGCTCAGTAGCTCAGGCGATTTGTGCAAAACATTTGGGTTGTGTTCGACCTGAAACCACGTTAACTTGTTGGTGAGCTGAAAACGGGAAAACGGGTAACTTTTTCTTCTCGTTGATGAATCGCTTAGTCACTGGAACTTCACCGATTATTTCATGTTGTTCATGTGTAATTTTCAGCGGACACTTAGCGGAAGACTCTGTTGCCACCAATCGACACATTTGTATTCCATCAGTATCCGAGAACTGCCTCATCAAATATTAGACAGTCTCCTTTTAGGATATCAAGCACCTATTTTATCGTCACTGGGGTAATCAAATTCCCCAGTAATTCATTCCACCATATTCTGGATCGGTTGGGACTCAATAAACAATAAACAACCACTAACCCACCGCTACGCACAACTATGCACTGATGATGTCACCTCGATTAGTGATGAAACGCTTGCAACCAAATTGCCCAGCTCGATATGGCGGCCCACACCAACGCCCCGAGGCCGTTTAGCCATGGTGCACTCGCCACGAGTATCAAAATTGCAGTCCCACCGTCTCATTGACAACTGCCATTTCACTTCTCCTCCGCGACTTGCCTCTACCAGCGTCTGTATGCTGTTTGCCTGTTCGAATTAACTGAGCTCTCTTTACCGGCCTTACTTTCCCTCGACCAAAACAAATGGTAGCTGCAGTATTTATTAATGCACAAACAGCACTTATGACTGCTTGGATGGTTTTCCACCTAGCAGATGTGGTAGCACGCACGAGGGAAGAAAGCCTCGTGTGGTGGACGGGTACGCCCTGCAGGGAGGGTCGCCCTGTTACGTTGCACCATTGTGCGTTCGTATACCCACCACCCCTCCAGTAGCACGGGTGCATCGCCCATCGCCGGTGGTTCTGGGTCTGGCCTTTAAATTCAGGAAACCAGAAAAGTACTGTTGACTTCTGTTTGTTGCTGGTGTTGGGCTCGCCTCGGTTGAGTTATGCATTTGGCAATGCCATAAACCACAGATGAATAAACTGGCCTCTCATCTATGAAAAAAAAACAATAAAAAAGTTCACTTGGGATAGCCCAAAGATACTCTGCAAGTGCCCATGGCCTACATCGGCGAGCATAGCTGTATCTGCCTTCGTCACAACAGATGCTACACCGCACCAAAGCCCATTTCGTCCTTCAAAACAGAGAATACATTTACTCACCGCTCCGAGTGATAGACACTGACTAGTGGTAGATACTTGCTATGCACCATATACAGATTAGAGATAATAGCGGTGCTCCGGAGACTAGGGACTATTTCTCTTACACACACTTTCTCTCCTGGTATAACCCAACTCATGTAATAAACACCAGATCAGCCAGCTATTTTAGAAGTCCACTCCCGTCAGCCTTTCTGCGTCTGATTCCCGTACCACACATCTACGCGCTTTTATCGGCTTTAACTAGACCCCTTGCAATGTAATATCGTATGTTAGCTAACTCAACCCTTAGT